AAAGAATAGTACAATTGTACAAATATAGTTGAGAGGTACATAACAATGAATAACAAAAGAGTAAATAAGGAACCTGGTAAAATAAAAATATATATATTTTGAATCATTTTTTTCACAAACTAAGATTTGACTAACATTCACTCTGAAAAATTTAATGAAATGTTATAACAATGAAAGAATTAGCATTTTTAGACCTTGTATGCTATAATGTTTGATTAAATTTTATTCCATAAACATTAAAAACTATTTAGTGTTTATGTAAAATGTGTGTAAACTATATAAGGATTTTACAGATCCCTATAATCGCGCATTGATAGAATACCTATGGAATAAAATTTATCAAACATTATAGCATACAAGGTCTAAAAATGCTAATTCTTTCATTGTTATAACATTTCACCTAAACGAAAGTTTACAAGGCGAATATCCGATGTGACAATATAATTTTAATTCAGATTTTCCTATATATTTGTTACATATGCATACTGACAAAGATTAGTAAATAATGAAATTAAATGTTAGTTGAAAATATAAAATCAGGTTTCTAAATGTATTCTAGTTTATCTTTGTCGGTGACAGTAGAAAACCAAGATTAACTATTTAGTTATAAAACTTTTTGTGTATGTGTGGTGTGTGCGTATACATGTATATCAGAGGTACAGTAGTACTTAAAGTAGGAATGAGCCAGATGTGCAACATGTGCAAACAGGTAGGCGGTAGCACTGCATATGTAGCGATGGCCCGGATTTTTTATCAAAATAGTATTTTAGATATATTCTCAATAGGTCATCAGAACTTTACAATACTGTACAGTGTTTCCTTTTATAACAATATCCATTTAAAGACTGAGTCACAAGTTCTGTAAATATTGTTGCGTCAGCGAGGTCACGTGACTAGTATCACGCCACCTCTGTCTGCAAATAGCATTTACTAGATTTAGTGTAGTCTTGTATATATAAGACCGGCAACGAAGCGACGCACTGCCTGCAGTTCAATTACTCATTACCCCAGAGAATATTGTTAAGCACGTGAGAAGTTCGTTGAGAATTATAGCGCGACTGTTGAAGTTAAGTGTATCGCAAAGTTATATTCTGAAAGAATAAACCAGTTTTATTTAAGAAACGACTTGTGTCGCTAAAGTTTCGTCGGAACGAAGTTACGGCAAATTAACTAACGAACCGTAACATAACAATATATTTAGGATATATTAACCTGATAATCAGAGCGAAGCCGGGTACTTTCGCTAGTTGAGTTTACAAAAAAAAAAAAAACGCTGTTAAGTTACCTTATACACATGAAGATTAAGTAAAGTACTTAAATTTAAAATGAAACAACCGATTTCACAGTAGTTTACTTGTGTAAAATAACTGTGTCCGTATGTGACCAAAACGATTAATGCCTGAATATTATAATACGTTAAAGCTTCAGTCAGTAGCTTTATAATTATAACATTTCTCACCTAGGCCTCAATTTCCCGTTCATCTTACAAGAGTCTACTCTTTTCTTCGGGGGATCAGCTGAAAAAAAAAGTTAAAATAAGAAGAAAAAAACCATTGTTGATGTTATAGAAATATAATGTGTTTTATGATCCACTGAATAATCCTCACAGAAATTAATTTAATATTTCTAAATAATTATGTTTGGTATATATATTAAACAGTTCATTACTATGGCATGCGTGCTAAAATATCTTTGTACAGTATTTAATATTCATCTATCCCATATTTTATTTAGCTCTTCATAAGATGGACTATTAGATAAGGAATATGGTAAACATGTATGTGGAACATCCTGTACAAAGAATTACGGTTATTGATGGTTGTAATAAGAAATATATGTCCCTTCCACCCTTAATGACACTACACAAACAACCCTTAATCTAAACCGACATAGAAGATTCAACATTTAATGACACTACACAAATAACCCTTAATCTAAACCAACATAGAAGATTCAACATTTAATGACACTATACAAACAACCATTAATCTAAACCAACATTTAATGACACTACACAAACAACCCTTAATCTGAACCGACATAGAAGATTCAACATTTGACGACACTACACAAACAACCCTTAATCTGAACCGACATAGAAGATTCAACATTTGACGACACTACACAAACAACCCTTAATCTAAACCGACATAGAAGATTCAACATTTAATAACACTACACAAACAACCATTAATCTAAACCAACATTTAATGACACTACACAAATAACCCTTAATCTAAACCAACATAGAAGATTCAACATTTAATGACACTACACAAACAACCATTAACCTAAACCAACATTTAATGACACTACACAAACAACCCTTAATCTGAACCGACATAGAAGATTCAACATTTGACGACACTACACAAACAACCATTAATCTAAACCAACATTTAATGACACTACACAAACAACCATTAATCTAAACCAACATTTAATGACACTACACAAACAACCATTAATCTAAACCGGTATAGAAGATTCGGTGCTTTAATCAGGATATTAAAAGCGCTGAACTCACCAGATTCAGACCTATTCCTCACTATTATTTCGTCATCGTCTTCGTAGGAAGGCTTCTTTTTCTTTCGATCCAGCAAAAGAAAATATATCACTTTCTCCGTGTTGTAACTGTAACACAAACCTGTAATACTGTAGTGCAAGCTAGCAACTCAAACCATATACACTATGAACATTGTCAACAAAAACCTGTAATACTGTAGTGCAAGCTAGCAACACTATGAACATTGTCAACAAAAACCTGTAATACTGTAGTGCAAGCTAGCAACTCAAACCATATACACTATGAACATTCTCAACAAAAACCTGTAATACTGTAGTGCAAGCTAGCAACACTATGAACATTGTCAACAAAAACCTGTAATACTGTAGTGCAAGCTAGCAACACTATGAACATTGTCAACAAAAACCTGTAATACTGTAGTGCAAGCTAGCAACACAAACCATATACACTATGAACATTGTCAACAAAACCTGTAATACTGTAGTGCAAGCTAGCAACACAAACTATATATACTATGAACACAAACCAGCAACACTGCAACATATACTAGTAATACTGTAAACACAAACCAGCAACACTGCAACATATACTAGTAATACTGTAAACACAAACCAGCAACACTGCAACATATACTAGTAATACTGTAAACACAAACCAGCGACACTGCAACATATACTAGTAATACTGTAAACACAAACCAATTAATCTTTAAAGAAACACAGAGATGATTTTTTACTCAGATCGGTGTTAACAAGAAATTTAACCTGTTAATCTTTGAACTTCTGTAAATCAGTATTAGTTTAAACAGCAGTGCTTTATTTGTTACATTTATACTCATAAAGACGGTGTTGTTCTCACATTTTAAACACCTTCTGATTATTAATACTTAGAAGATAAGGAAGAAGTCGAAAAAAGTGTATCCAAAATAAAGAGAAGGAAGTAAACTAAAACAACTACGGTTCACTGTAGCTACACAGTTTTCTAGCGACAACAACCACAGTTCACTGTAGCTACACAGTTTTCTAGCGACAACAACAGTTCACTGTAGCTACACAGTTTTGTAGCGACAACAACAACAGTTCACTGTAGCTAGACAGTTTTGTAGCGACAACAACCACAGTTCACTATAGCTAGACAGTTTTGTAGCGACAACAACCACAGTTCACTATAGCTACACAGTTTTCTAGCGACAACAACCACAGTTCACTATAGCTACACAGTTTTGTAGCGACAACAACCACAGTTCACTATAGCTACACAGTTTTGTAGCGACAACAACCACAGTTCACTATAGCTACACAGGAATCTCTGTGAATTTGCTAATTATAATAATAAAGCGAATCTGGGTGGAGAAACTTCACAGTCTTATAAAGATCGTAATTACAGGAATTCTCTGTGGACCTAACGTTTCGTTTGAGACAGTAAAATGTGTCAGGACAACAGTCTTGTAAAGATGGTAATTACAGGAATTCTCTGTGGACCTAACGTTTCGTTTGAGACAGTAAAATGTGTCAGGACAACAGTCTTGTAAAGATGGTAATTACAGGAATTCTCTGTGGACCTAACGTTTCGTTTGAGACAGTAAAATGTGTCAGGACAACATTCTTGTAAAG